ATGCTGATCGTTGATATAGCAAACTATACCCATAGTAAGCTAACCCACTGAAACAACATGATCATCAATTGCATATGCATAGCCTACACGCTGATCACTGAACACACTTCACCCAAGCACTGCTGTGTCAGGAATGTTAATTCTATTACTCCCTTTTTGATATATAAATACATATACAAGATCCAATTTACAAAATTATGGGATTCTTGGTCGCCAATTAAATGATCGGGATGATAAATCAGCAGCATTTCGATAATTCAAGCCTGTGCTATGATGATGTGGCACTATGATGTAATCATTAAACACTTTTTTTGTACATCTTTATGCAAACCAATCAAATCACAAGATATAAGTAATTCCATGTATGATTTTACCCAAGGTGAAATTTACCCTGTTCAACCGGTGTTAGGTGGTAAAAAATAAAACTCCATTTTGACATTTCCCCGTATCTCAGAGCAGATGGCCCTATAGCCAAACGTTGGATAAAAACATCGGGTAAAGCAGTACATGTTCAAAGGTTGATTTGAATCATATATCATAATTGTGGTTGATGAATAATTGCAAGGTTTTGACGTGGGTTTTTTCTGAGCCATTATAATAATGTATGCCGTATTTTGCGAAATATAAGTAACATATCCGGATTGGTTTTTAACTTTTTTTTGAACTTTAAAAAAATAGTGCCAAATATTTGTTCAGCTGTTTTGTTGAAAATTAATTTTAATTAGTCATCGAAAGTTATTGAAATAAAATACGGGGATGTTGCTTACATTCTGCAAGATACGATATTGACGAGCAAAAGCGTGAATAATTTTGCCAAAAGTGATTGAAGGACTATGTTATAGGTATCCTCAAGTTATCCGAAAACAGACCAGAGGGCTTTAGAAGAAGAAATTGGCGATGCCTATAATGATTCAAGGATGAAATCATAAAGAGGATCCAAAAGTGTTATGCTGCTAAGTGGCGCAAATTATTCCGGGAAAAGTGTTTATTTGAAACAAGTTGCTGTGATTGTGTTTATGGCACATATAGGAAGGTGAGAATATATTTTAAATCAGAATTTGGGACTGTGGAATATTTTTTATCTCGAATATTATTTTTTGTGTTTTTATAGCTTTGTTCCAGCTGAGTCTGCTTTTATCGGGCTTACAGACAAGGTATTTACACGAGTGCAAACGCGTGAAACTATCTCAAAGGTCAATTTTTTCAGTTTGGCCTCAAAAATATTTTTTTCTTGGATCATATTCAAAGAAATATATTTTTCGCTTAAATTCCAATTCAAAGTGCATTCATGATCGGAACGATCATTACTTATATTTGATGAATTTGAAAAATGGACCGGGTCGCCTGGTACTTTATATTGATTTTTCTCTTGTTGCATAATTGATTTACAAAAAATAATATACAAGTGTTAAAAAAGATGGCGCCGTATTATTTTGTGGGGTGATTGAAAATTTAATCAATCGAGGGCTAAAATGTCCCAAAGTGCTTGCTGTAACACATTTTCATGGTAAGTTAATATTATATTTCTGCTGGGTATCCATAAATATAAGATTTTAAATAACACTTTTAAATTAAATTGGTTAGAAATATTTGAGAACAATTTAATGCCTTCTGATCTGCCTATTTCTTTTACGACAATTGAAATAATCAAAAATGAGCAAGACGAAGAAATCTCATTTTTGTATCGGTAATTATTTCGATTTCTTTAGACGTTATCGTATTTTTATCAATTACATGAATGTATTTATAATGAAACAATTAGACCTGTTTCCAGGAAGAAGTACAACATCTTGGGGTACTTATTGTGCTACCTTGGCTGGTGTTCCAGAGAACGTAATTCAACGAGGTAATTGTCACTGCTTAATTTTAATTATAAAATTGTCTATAGCAATCAATTGACCAAACATAAAAATAATTAGCATAACGTCTCTCGACTTTATTTGCACGTTACGAAACAATTCCGCTTCCATTCACAAGTGATCATGAAAAAAGGTTGTATGCCACATATGAACTGGTCGTTAGCAAGTTTGTGGAATGGAATTTTTCTCGTGATGATGAAGTCTTTAATGAAATGGAAATCGAGAGTGATGATATTAATAATAACAGTAATCGTAAATATGACGGAGGCAAAAGAAAGTATGTATAATGAAATTTGAGGCTTTTTTAAAATGAGTTTCACGTGAAGTTAATTTTTAAATTACTCAATGAAACTTTTATAAATTTAATATACTGTATAAGTAACTAGCATTCCTTCAGTTATTCCACTAGAAGTCAAATTTATTAAAGAACCGTAAAAATTGAAAGTTACTCTATATTAGAGTTTTCAATTTTACTTATAA